AACCCTCAGATCTGCCCGAGCGCCCGCTGCTTTTTTAGAGCAGGAGGCAACTGGGGTGGCTCGCTCTCTTGCGAAAGTTAGCCGCGATCTTAGCTGTGCAACGGTCATGGCATCGCAATGACGACATGAACCGCCCGCGAGCACCGCATTAACATGCTGGACCCCCAAACATGCAATGCAGTGATCGTGTCCATCATCCGGAGACAGGAAACCCCCGCATCCAGAAACGCACAGTCGGAGCGCCATCCTGAAAAGGACGTGCTGCACGACTGTGTTGCTCTTTTAGGAAAGTTGCAACTATACGCACCGCTCTGGAGGACCGGACCCAAAGAACCGCAGGCAAGGGAGTAACCCAGCTCGACCGTCTGCCACCGCGAAGACCCACTCTGGACCGGGAGACACACTCGTTCGCTCTGAAGTGCTGATCAGCAAGAGGAACCCTCATCGACTCACTCAGAAAGGATCTGAAGCGAAAAGGATGGCGTCTGCTGGCTTCAGGTGTGCTTATATGCTGAGATAATTGCAGATGTCGCACACCTGCGCAAGCTTACGCTGCCAATTAATTTCATTCATTGGCCCGTTCAATACTCTCCAGATAAGCGGCTTCTGATCCGAATCCTCCCATTCATGGCACTGAAGTTCCCCAACCGAAGGGGATCTGATGTTTCCTGATTTTTTAGGTATTCTTGGCCTCTCCTCATGGTGGAGTTTCAAATGATCAATGTTGACCCTTTGCGTGGACTGTCCTATAGAGTTGAAATGGACCACACATTTGTTATCTATTTTGGTCACCATAAAGGGATCAAAATATTCAGGGTCAAGTTTTCCTCCCTTTCGTTGTTCAATGCGAACATTTCTCCTCCATACTATGTCCCCCACCTTAAGGCTTTGGCATTGCCTTTTTGAAAGTCGCCGATTAGTTCTTTTGTGGGTTTTTTCTGTGTTTTTCTCCACTAGATGCAGAATGTTCTCATGGCATCTGATGTCAACAGCTACCTCTTCCTTACAGCACTCTACTTCAAATGAAGAATCAACGTTTGGCAACATGTTAATGAGAAATATATTTTCTTCATTTGCATTTACTATATACAGCTTTGAAAATATATACCTGGCACTTTTTATAAAATTATAAACAAATATTTTTCACCTGAGCTTTCTGGGACTTAAGAAGGGCATCTTGCTTCTCTCCCAAACATGAGAAGAAAACCTTGTGGTAAGCTGTTTTTGGTCCGCAGACCAAACATGGCTGCATCTAAATATTGGTTCCAGTTGCTGGGTTTGTCCTCCACTAGCTTTGCAAGTACTCTAATAACACTAAAACATAAAAGGTAAATACAAAACTTGAAGCATTTTTTGTAAAAAAGGATACAAATGCTTACAGTGTTGACAAACTCCCTTCCTTGATTTACTGAAATCAATGTTTCCTTGATTGACTTTTAACATTTGGACTGTAATAAGACATTTTGTTAGATACATGCAAAATGTTACATGGATAGTTCACCCAAATATGACAATTGCCTCATCATTTGTTTTCGGTCACTTGTTTTTTTCTAAATATCTTCCTTTAACTGAATAAAGGAATGCAAATGTGTTTTAAGCATGTGAAGGGTGTGTAAAAGATGGCAGAATGTTCAGTTATGGGTGAAATATTGCTTTAATACAAATCTTACATTTGTACTGTTGTCAAAAGTTTATATCAGTGTTCTGAAGGAGCAAGGGAGAAATTCAACAAAGTTTTTCAACCAAAGACAAAACTCATTTTCTAGGGTTTATGAGAAAGAGTCACTCATTTGTAACAGATATAACACAGGCAGTCAAAGTACAGGGCCTTCTCCTGGGCGATGCTGGCAGGTCGAACACAAAGGTTCCTCATCTAAACTGTTGAATATAATAGAACAGACCTCAGGCAGGAGATTGCATGGATTGGCTTTACTCGAGCACAGACTGTGGGCAGAGTAGAGGTGAGCCAAAGCACAGTGGAACAAACAACAAACGGGTAGAGACAGAGCACGACAAGACGAAGTTCACAAGACTCAACAAACTTGGTTACAGGTAGGACAAGTAGCTTAGAAAGCTTACTGACATCAAACAATTATCAAGCACAGAACGAGGGAGAAGGGGAGATTGAATAGACACATAATCAGGGAGAGCAGGTGAGAGCAATGAGGATGGAGAAACAAGGGAATTGGTAACAGGTGTAACTGCACACAAATAAACACACAAGAGGGAGACAAAGAAAGCACAAAAACCCTGACAATTAAACAATGTTAGAAACATGGATGTAGCACCTTGATTGGAATATAATGTGGTTTGTGTTTTACATGTCTCCGGCTTTTTTGGCAAACAGTGCACTGTGAAACCTCAAACAATGATAATATGAATTAAGTTAAAAGTAATTTTTTGATTTCATAAATTCAGTGAACTGAAGTATTCATAAAGTGCATTAGCTTACCCATTTCACAATGTCTTCTGACATGCCAGGCCAGTAAAATCTTTAAGAAATCGCATCTCTTGCCTTAAGTTGCCCACAATGTGCACCAATGTTGCTTGCATGAAATTCTTTAAAAAGTTGGTCAGCCTCCTCTATGCTACACACAACTTTACATTTCGTCTCTTTATCAGAGCCATTTTTCTGATGTAATATAAAACGTCATGTGCAGAAAATATATATTTAAAAAACGTGTCTAAACCCAGCTCTTACTCCTATACAGGAATAAAATGGTTTCTCAAATATATGTGACCCTGGGCCACAAAACCTAAATATTGTAGAGATTGGGAAAAAATATTCATTGTACAGATCCAAATTATAGATTCTTTTTTTTAGGAGAAAAAGATAAGGAAAAGATTATTTTCCATTGAGATGTTTTTTTTTGTAATTACACGTCATATATGAAATCTCTTTTATATTGTAAGAGTTGTATCTCAGCTAAATATTGTGCAATCATTTTACTTGCAGCACTCACTGCAGACAGTTGTTATATTTATCTTCAAGTAATGCCAATTTCTAGCCATAGTGAAGTTTGATACTCTCCTAATTATGCAATATCGCTGGTGTTTATCAGCAGTTTTGGGGGTATTCACCCAAAAGAAGGTAGGCCCTAAGCTCAGCTAGGAAATTAGGATCCATGATGTGCTGTGGTAACTTGCAAATCATCCTATAACGTGCTCATCAGGGAAGTTACTTCTCAGTGTTATCAGTGGATTATAAGCATCTGAGTACACCTGATGTGCATTTATTCTATGTATTCTTGATGTAATATGAAGCCTTAAGCTGCGGTCACACTGGGCTTTCCAGTGTGACTAGATTTCCATTCATACGCATGCGAATGCATCAGCTTTGTGAACTTTGACCTGCGAAATCGCATCACTTGACTGTGTGAGACTGATCGAGGATCAAAACATGACCTCTCTAGACAGAAATTTAAAACATTAAGCTATCGCTTGCTTTTTAAATGTCTAATCATCTAGTTTAATCCCGCCCCTTTTCGCTACGCCGCACAACAGAATTTCGCACACACAAACTCTAGTGTGACCGCAGTTTAGGCTACAATCACACACATGGAGCCGCCCTCCACTCTTTCTGTAACAAGCTACAAGTTAATTATTTAACTTAACTTACATAACTTAATCTTTTTTTTTAGAATATAGCATAAGGTGGATATATAGCGTTTGGTGGATATATAGCGTTTGGTTGGAGCTAAAATCTGCAGGACACCGGCCCTCCAGGAACAAGTTTGGTGACCACTGTCTTAAATAATAATGTCAAATAACCAACATTTTTAAAAATGGATATATCTCGTTTTGTAACTAAACTCTTCATATGTTTTTTTGGTAACGCTTACTTTTACAACCCGCAAAGTACCACGTAAGTACAGTGAAATAACAGCATACTTTTGTGTACGTATGCTATTAGTAAAATGAACGTACGTGTTGGTATAATGGAACAAACTGTAATGCTTGGGTAATAAGGGGGTAACAACTAGACATGCTACACGCAAATTACAGTGTAAGTATATTGATTTTACAGTGTACTTTTCTATAAAGTGCAAAGGAACAAATGGGTAATGTGTGGGTAATAAGGGGGTAACAACCGGATATGCAATGCTTGGGTAATATGGCGGTAAGAACCAGACATGCAACGCGCAAAGTACCGTGTAAGTATATTAATTTTACAGTATACTTTTCTATAAAGTGTAAAGGAACAAACAGGTAATGTTTACATGATAAGGGTGTAACAAGCAGATGTGCAACACGCAAAGTACCCCGTAAGTATATTGAATTTACGGAGTACTTTTCTTTAAGTATTATATAAAGAACGATGCAAGGGTGGTCACAACCTAGTGCAACCTGCAGACACCTGCTTAAGTACATTATTAATAGTACCCTTATTCAGTGCTTGGGCTTTTATAAGGGTTGTTTACTAAACAAAAGATTCACAACCTGTATTGTATATTGTATGTATTTTAAATCTGCAATTCAATACATATATATAAATTTTTTTAATTATTTTTTTTTTTCATACACCACTTACCTTGTGAAAGCTTACTCGTTGATCTCACCATCACCAGCAATTCCTCAACACTATCAACAAATACTTTTGCATGATATACTGTCAGGGTTTAATGCCGATTAAAACAGGCTTGCATTTTTACTGCTGTCTGCAGAACGGGAGACCAACTGTTACACTTCAGTAAATAGCTGATGATTTAATAGAAAAATGTAGTGTGCAATTTTTCATTCAATCAATTAAAACTGCAGCTGTGGTTTTCTGTTCTTACTGTTCAAATATACACTTGTGCATTGAAGTCCAGCTTGTTCCCTCCTTGTTCCCTGTATTTACAGGGTAAATACAGCATTGGCGGGTTGTAAAATAAAGTGAAGCCTTGATCCCTTTAGTTACACAGTAATTAAATATGCTGTAACAGCATTAGCTGTTTTAAGTTCAAAGTACTTGTAAAAGCGCATACCATAATAAGCACAAGCAAAAACATCAATTTCATCAACTTCAATAACAATTATTTATTATTAACATTTATTAACAAACTCATAAACAAACTTTCTTACAAACTTCTATCACACAATTATTATATACACTTGAACAGATGGAAAAAAAAAGCTGCTCAATTATTTACTCAATTGAAAGGAAGAAAGAAAGATACAAAGAAACAAAGATCAACGCCTGAACTTGTTTTTTATAGGCAACAGCTTGTGTTCCTTCTTCACAAGGAACTGTTGTAATTCTTTTGAATAGCACTGGAGTGTTGTTCCATTTAAATATGCTGGAACTTGATATAATTCTCCCTCTGAAGCAATTGCCACCTGTAATCACAAGTGCAGAAATTTAATTTGTAGAATTTTAAAAAGGTATAGCAATAGAAACCAATTAATATCAGGCTAACAGATTATGCAACTCTCATTGAACTGATTATTACTGTGAGTAGTTGTCATAAACCCTTTCAGATTAAAAAGTAGTTTGTTTTGTTGGGTTGGATCTAAACTCTTCAAGAAGGTGAATATCCAGTATTTCTATTTCCAATATTATTTATCTAAAAGCTGTGTTTTATGCTGCTTTTGAACTGTATTGCAATAAAGAACATTGTTTCTGATTAGCTTATGCTCTGATATAGATAGGGTGAACAAAAAAGATAAAACCAGATAATAAAAAACTATAGTTTAGCAGCAGCAGTATACATACCAAGAATGATTGCACTGATGAATCACTCAATAATCTAAACAAAAAATATAAATGCATCACCTAAAGATTTAGATCAGGCTGTAATTTTCTAAGATTTTTTGTTTAACTACTTAGCAACAACACTAAAATTATTACAACATCTGTGGTCATACATACCTGTGCAATTATACTTGTCAGGGATAAGGTAGATTTATCCACCTTGTGCCTTTTTAAGCAATCCCGAATGCTTAGATTCTTTTTATATGTTTTAAGTACTAGTTTGTACCTATGGGTTACTTGTTCTCGGGTGGTCACTGGAGAAAAAAAAAGTAAAAATAATTGTTGGGTTAATGTATGATTTAAAATACCATTTACAATACCTCAGATACTTTAATGACTTCACATTTCAACTCAAAACCTTGTTCATAATTAAATAAAGTATAATAATAATTGTCATCAAGTCAAATTACTAAAAGACAAAAATGCCAGAAACCTTCACCCGCCAGATATTATACCACCACTGGACCAACTGGGTGGACTCTAACAGGCAGTGTTACAATAAAGAGGTAATCCAGATTCTAAGCTTTAATGCCCTTCATATTTACCCTGAATTCAGGTTTGATTATCTCACACCTTGCTTTATCAAGGTATGTCAGTTGCAAAACTGTGACTGTAAGTTAAGTTGACTCAAAGTACAGTGTCCATCAGTCAGCCAGAGATTTTTTTTTTTTTTTTTTTTATCTTTGTGCTATGGTGAGCCTTATCCCTTCTGCGTTTTGTCATCTAAAAGGTGATTGGTCATTTCTAATATTACCACTTAATCTGTATTGCTGTTACTAGTAAATACTGTTATTAGTAATTAAATTGTGTGTTTGAAAGTAACAAAAATGTAAAGAAAGATTAGACTAAACTATATTTAATTATAATACATTTTATTTTAATTTAATGCACTTTTCTCAAACTCAAAGCGTGTACAAGGCAAAAACAATAAAACAGTAAAAGCAATAAATAGGTAAATATAACAATAAGTACGATAACATCAGTTCACACATTAAAACACGACTAAAGAGGTTAGTCTTAGGAAGCTTCTTTAAACAGTCCAGAGACACAATATTCCAAATGTTAATGGGTAATGCATTCCATAATTTTGCTGAGATACGAAACAATATGAAAAAAGCCTGACCACCCATGATGCTAAGTCTGAAGCGTGGCTGGAACAGGGTAAGACCCAAAGTAGACTGCGAGCAGGAGTGGAAAGTGTCACAAGATCACTGATGCAATCAGGAGCTAGCCTATGGACTGCTTTATAAATTAAAATCAGAGTCTTAGCGTGCTTTCACACCTACACTTTTGTTTCAGAACCTGTCTTGTTTGCCCAGTTAGCGTGGTTCGTTTGGCATATGTGAAACCACCAATCACGCTCGCATCCGCACCAAAACAATCGCTCAGAGATCGCTTAAACGAGGTGGTCTCAGCTTGATTGACACAAACTCTGGAGCGGATCGATTGTAGTGAGAAAACAAATGATTCTAGCCCGGTTATATTACAGTTATGGCTGCTCTATTATGGGAAAAAATCATAATCACGATTATTTTGGTCATAATTGTAATCACGATTATTCAAAATGATTATCAGTTGAAGTCAAAATTATTCGCCCTTCTGTGAATTTATTGTTATATATAAATATTTCCCAAATGTTGTTTAACAGGTTTTTTTTACAGTATTACCTATAATATTTTTTCTTCTGGAGAAAGGCTTATTTGTTTTATTTCAGCTAGAATAAAAGCAGGTATAAATATTTTGAAACCTATTTTAATAGCTCGATATTATCTCAAGCAATATTTATTTTTGATTGTCTGCAGAAGAAACTATTGTTACATTATGACTTGCCTAATTACCCTGACACCTGTAGAGGTGAATTGGGTAAGCTAAATTGTCTATAATGTGTGTGTGTGTGTGAATAAGAGTGTATGGGTGTTTCTCAGTGATAGGTTGTGGTTGAAAGGGCATTCACTATGTAAAACAAATGCTGGATAAGTTGGCGGTTCATTCCACTGTGATGACCCCAGATTAATAAAGGGGCTAAGTCAAAAAGAATATGAATGAATGAAAAAAAAAATGCACGATCATGTAGGAACTTCATATCTTCCAAATTCTTCCAGGAAATTTTAAATGTCTCTGATATTGCATACAGAAAAATAATATATCCTCAAGAAGACACAGATCCCTTTCCAATTCAGCATGTGCAGGTTTCTGCACACAGTGTAAAATGTTTTCTCAAAAATGTCTTGTATGTAGACAATGAAAAAGTCCAAAGCTGGTAAGTGGTGTCTCTGCTAAATCTGGTGAAAGGATGCCAAACTATCATCAATATATAATTCCTGAAACCTGAATCAGTTCATCCTGGCTAAAAGGAATGATTCAAACAAATTGGACAATCCATGTGCAGTTTCTGATGTGAGTCTTAAATAGTCAACAAAAGAGAAAAAGGTGACGCAGCAATTAAGAAAATTGTCCTGATAAATTGTCATCTGTAGAGGTGGCAAGCTTTATGGGAAATGTAATCCAGATGTGGAATAGAGTGCCATCTAGTAGAAGTTGTGCACACCCCAGCTGGTGATCATAACAGCTACATTCACTGTGGGGAAAAATGGACGTAACACTTTAAAATATGGGACACATAGTTAATGTTAGTTAATGTTTTTTCTAACATGAACAAACAATGAATTAATGATACATATATTAGTTTATGTTTGTAAATACATTAATTAACATTAATTATGTGCCCTGTAGTGTAAAGTGTTACGTTTAAGAAGTTTATCAGGTGGATTGGCTGAAGAAGCATAGGGTCTGGAGAAGATAAGTAGAAAAGGTACAAGAGGGAGAAAAAGTTGAAGTGCGATGGCTAGGTAAAAAAACAACACCAAACAAACAAACAAACAAACAAAAGAAAACACACACACGCACACATTGTTCATCACCATATAAAAAAAATAAATAAATCTTGGCCATTTTTCATCCCAAAACTTTGTGGAAACTCCAAAACCAGCATCACCCTACTGGATTTGATTTTTCAGACACTGGGCAAGGTTTTTTAAAAATATGTCATTGCCCAAAGGGGTCAAATGAACTCTATCATGTAAGAAATGGCCAGGATCTTTATATGTTATCTCTGGGTGATGAACAATGGCACCACCAACTGACACCATAATAGTAGCCATCGCATGGTTGACAAAGCGCCGCGCCCTGTCAACCTTCCTCAGACTTTCAGCAAACCTCCACAGGCATCGCTGGGTGATGGCAGAGTAGATGATCTTCATCTGAGGGAACTGCCTATGGAGGTCTTGCAAGTCCTGCTTCATCACTGCGGCAAGTATAACACTCTTGATGTTACCGAGGTCATTTCCGCCACAGTGAATAAGCAGGACGTCTGGCACAGCTCTTCCTCCAAGACAGCGACGAAAGAAAGAAACAAGGTTTCTCCAGACCAAGCCTCCAAAGCCAAACCACCTGATATGGGCGTCGAGACCAAGGTTGGTCCCGACAGTTTGCCTTGCCCGTTCTTCCCCACGGCAAATATAGCTGTCACCAATTACATATATGATGGGTCCTGTAGATTGAAAAAGAATAAGAATGTCAGTTTTCAATAAAACAAAAAATTATATATATATATTATCATTTTTTTACATTAAAGATGCATTACATTTATCTATTTATTTATTTTTATCTAAAATTAAATAATTAAAATAAATAAAATATATAACCTAAGTAACATTGATATATGTTGTAGTTTCGGACAGAATGAATACTCATGATAACACTACTGTTCAACTCTTGGGTAAAAAATTCCAATTCAACATTATCTTCTTTTCCTCCATTTGGTATGGTTACAGATGTGAACTGCAGTACCAGTAAACTGAACTGATAGAGTATGCCTGTACATGATGTCACCAGGTCTATATGACACTCCATTATTACACTCAGGTTATCTGTATTAGAATAAGAGCAGCACATTGGAAAATGAAACTATTTTATTTATTTATGATTTTTTTTTATTTCTGGTCTGGATCAGCACCGAATAGAACGGTTAAGGAAACACCGTTTAACATGGTAGTGGAAAATCGGCTATAAACTTCAAAAGATTTTTATGTTTTTCATACTTTTGGCTTTGGTTAATTGTGCATTGGATGCCATCTTTGCTAACACCAAGTATTTATAAAACAGAAAAACAAATGTCATGCATAAAAACCCAAGTAACTAAGTAGCTGTTTAGATGAACTGTTATTATCTGCGTTTATACACACAATCATTTTAATAGTAATTTGTCTAACATGTTTTGTTTACATTGCATAAAAAAAATAATAATAATATCTAGTCAGGTGAGATTCAAACCTGGGTCGGACAGCTTCATAGCGTGATGTGCTTACCACTGGACCACAACAGCGCTGTTATGGTGCCACTTTCACGGTGGTAATTTATTAATGTACTGAATCGTCCAATGTTTGATATCCATTAATATTAATTATTTGAATTACTTATATTCACTAAGGCAGTGGTTCCCAACCTTTTTCTTTGGGGCCCCTCCCATGAACATATACAAATATTGGAGCCCCCCCACCATATAAATACACACACACGCACGCACGCACATATGTACTGTGTGTGTATATATATATATATATATATATATATATGTGTGTGTATATATACATATATGTGTATATATATATATATATATATATATATATATATGTATATATGTATATATATATATATATATATATATATATATATATATATGTGTGTGTGTTTGTGTAATATTAATATATAGTAATAGCTATAAAAAATATTAATTAATCAGTTTTAACTTGTCTTGGCCTTCAATAAAACCAAAATTTAGGTAGGCTTTGTCATACTGTAATCTTTTTCTTCGCCTCTGAAGAATCACTGCATTTACATTTGTCTGCCATTTTTGTTTTGATTTTGCCTTTACGACACGTTGACAAGCAGATTGCGTGAGTAAGCAAAATTTAAATAATTATTTAAAGTTATTTATTTTAATTATTTTCACTATTATGTTGGAATTTTACGCATGTGTTTAGATTATTTTTTATTTTTTGGTACTTAAAAATACATATATAATAGTAGGGCTGCTCGATTTTGGGAAAAATCATAATCACGATTATTTTGGTCATAATTGTAATCACGATTATTCAAAACCATTGCCAGTTAAAGTCAAAATTATTAGCGCTCCTGAGATTTTTATTATTTTTTTATAAATATTTCCCAAATTATGTTTAACAGAGCAAGGAATTTTAACAGTATTTCCTATATTTTTTCTTCTGTTTGTTTTATTTTAGCTAGAATAAAGACAGGTTTAAATATTTTGAAACCAATTTAAGGTCAATATTATTAGCCCCCTTAAGCAATATATATTTTTGATTGTCTGCAGAATAAACTACCGTTATAATGACTTGCCTTATTACTCTAATTAAGCCTTTGAACTGCACTTTAATCTGAATGCTTGTATTTTGAAAAATATCTAGTAAAACATTATGTGCTGTCATTATAGCAAAGACAAAAAGAAATCAGTAATTAGAAATGAGATATCAAAACTATTATGTTCAGAAATAAGTTAATAAAATATTCTTTCCATGAAACAGAAATTGGGCAGGAAAAGGTTTGCTAATATTCAAGAGGGCTAATAATTCTGACTTCAACTGTATATACATGCAGTTATTTTCCACCCTGCAAAGGAAAGAGAAATAAATACAATAGAATAAAAATATGAAACAAACTGTGCTTTAAGCATCTTCACTGTAAGAAAAACACTTTAGCTACAGCAGTCCTTCAGTCAAGAGCAGCGAGGGTTTTCTCGTTATGTTTGTTTAATAATGATAAAAACAGGCGGCAGAAGGATTATAGCGCACTGTCTCTTTAATGGTTTCTCTTTCACGTCTTTTGATCCTCAACTCGTTTGTTTATTACACAAATGAGTGTTAATGTAAATAATTACTAAACACCGCGTTTTGACACCTATTTGACCATTAAAGCGTTCACGTAAAGATGACTTTAGATGTCTGCGCTCCTCTGCTCGTCTCAGTGTGTGAATGAGAGTGAATGCTGACCGCCCGCATGCTTCTGACTGCGTGATCGTGCTGCACACACACATAAGCTCTTTCGCGCTTTTAAGAGCAACACGTGTACAACTGTGGCGAAATGTGATGCAATAATCAATTATCTCGATTAATGCTTTTTTATAATCGTTTGAAACCGAAATCTAAAACGGATTTTCGATTAATTGCAAAGCCCTTTATAATAGTGGAGCATTTTTATGCCTTTTTCTACCTCAATACTGGACCCCAGGTTGGGAACCACTGCCATAGAACTGGTACACTCATCCCCTGTATGTATTAGACATGGTCTTCTTCAGTTTAAGGTGCTTCTTAGGCTTCACCTATCTAGGAGCAAGCTGGCAAAAATGTATCCAGGGTCAGATTCATCTTGCCCCGGATGTGGTTTGGAGCCAGCAGATCTGATGTTCTGGCGATGCCCTAGATTGCATAAATTTTGGGCCAATATTTTTAGATCATTTTCATCTATATGTAATAGAGATCATTGCCTTTTCTTCTTTATTGGCCAGACGCCTGATTCTCCTAAGATGGAAAAAACAAACCCACCATC